ATATTACCCGCCCAACTTTACCGCCCATATGGAATCCACCAATGCGGAACAGTAAGCTGTTAGCGGTTAGAGCATTCCCGGCAAAGTTCTTCTCTGATGCGCGGGTTCAAATCCCGCCAAACGCCTCGAGTTTTTTCACAATTGGGTCAACTCAAATGCTAGTTTGTATTGAGCGTGAGACCTGCCAGTTTTAAGCTATCGAATAACATACGCAGATAATGAAAAAAGGTCTTCATCGTCCTTCCCAAGAACGGCAATGCCATCCAGAGGGAGCTGCTTACCAGTAGTGGCGGTAAGGCAGTATGTCCAGAATTACCATGATGACTCTTAGTACTGTAAAAACATGCACCGAAACATAAAAAGAAACTCAAAAGTTAATTTACCGCAATTTTGTTGCTGTCTTTGGCCAAGCCTAACTCTTTCTCTCTCTCTTGTACATCCTCCCGTTATTTGCTTTACTAACAGGATCAAAACTTTACTGCATGTAGCCTTTTTTAACGGAAGCGCGATATAGTAGGCATCGTGGCGTCATTTTTCTTTCAAGCATTTGGATCGACAACAAAGATTTTCGTACGATGCTGCTTCTTTAGTTGAAATGAAACTTCGTATGCGTTGATTTAAACTATTACGAACACCTGATACAAACTACGTACCACTACTTGCGCGCTCTTTCGTGGAGTGTCAATCCAAATTAACCAAAAATGGAATGAGAAAATTTACCCTGATGGCTTTATTTCACCATAAGAAAATGTATCAAGGAAGGAAATACTGATACATTATCGTTGAACTGGTACTGACAGGTCTTTTTCCCCAGCGCATCTAGAAATGCAATCCAAACTGGAGCCGCATCCTTTCCATCGCCGACTTCACTTTGTTATCCACATGACAAAGCTTTGTATGTACCTTATGCTTCGCGTCCAAAAAGCAGAGTTTGCAGACCTTGGGGTCTGGGTTCAACACACTGAGACATTTGCGACAGTGGTGGAAGTGCTTGAAGTGGACTGCGAAAGGTTCGTGGCATTTCATGCAAGCCTCCATCTCTGCAAAGAGACCATCCTTGTCGTGGTAGCATACCTGGCAGGCGTTGGTACCATTGAGATGCAAGATCCAGGTCATGTCCTTGCCACCGGATAAGGAGATGTGCCATCGCAGGAAATGTTCGATGTAACCGGCACATTCTTTGGATGGTTTTTCTAATATCGTCGACTCCGTTACGGCCGCGATAATATCTGGGGAATCTCCCCGGGAGAGGTTCTCCGCTCCCAAAGCTCCTAGCGCCGACAACGCTAGTAGAGATAGCAGAGAG